GCATTATGAAAGTGTTGCAAAACAAGCCTTCGCCGCGATCCTCGCACGACCAAGTGTTCCGCGAACAAAAGGCAATCATGAACAACAGAAATAGACAATTGTCTTCGATCAAACAAAACAAAGAAATTTGTTTCCAATATTCTGCGGCTACTTGGGATGTGGCAATTTAGATTTGGTTTACGGAAACGGAAAGCATCCGAGAAACACTATATTGGCCATGCTCTCTGGCTTTGCCGATAATTTGTGGCGCTTTCTAGTCCAACCGGTCGCGTTACTTACTTGAGCGTCTCCTTTAAGCTCGGATGATAGAAAATTACGTCTCCCATCATAGTCTGCGAAAATGGCTGGGTTGGATAAAACCGCAGACGGGTGAGACCATAAGGGATTATATCACACTGAGCTTGACGGGCAATTTCGTGCTCGGTAGATTATACTCTTGAGGTCTTACCCTTAAGAGACTGGCTACTTAGAGCACATGCGATGTAGCGGCAAACAGCGTGACTAGCTAAATCCAGTTTGACACATTTAACGGGGTGCCTCAGACCTCCACATATGGATGAACTATTCTTGGAACAGCGAGCAAAGCATCCGGGAAGACTAATACTCATGCACTTAAAACACTCGATGTAGGGCTTTCAGCTGTGACATTTGTCATCTGCATAGCTGCAATTTCATCCGTAAGAACCACGAGTGCCCATGTCTAGACAGGAGCAGTTGAGCTGTGAAGTTTGGGTTCGGACCAAGCACCTTTCTTCAGTTAAACCGTGCTGCAGCCAATGGGCAATTCCGAGCACTCCTGAGTACTATACAATACAGCCGCTGGTTTGTTTGCTGAACTGGGCAATTTGGTTAGAAAAAATCCATCACGAGAGGAGATGACTTTGTCAGTGCGGCTGGGATGTAAGTTGGTGGTTCAGGCTTGTGCGTGGACCGATATCGGTTATACCCTCCGGGATGAACTTTGATCAATGAGTGCTCGTGTGAGTACGCGTTACTTTTGACCCGCTGATTGGCTTACCTTCCCATTGGTGGATATGCGGGAGCGAAGAATTTGACGATGATATTTGACTTGGCGGTTACATATTGATATCGCATCCCTCCTCAATTCGCCAAGGTTGCCGGTGGAATGCGGCGTTCCGGTGTCCCAGGATAGTTCCTTCTGTAGACTGCTCATTCTGGGCTCTCTGTCTGCGTACGGCAGTTTTAAACCTACACTGAATCCTGTGTTCTTTCCGGCCCATTTCACTCCGGTGCCTTGTGGTGCACATTCGAGTCTTGACAATGCTAACGCCTTCTGTCCCTCAGGCGGCGCTGAAATGCATTTCCTCCAGTCGCCCACATATCATATTCCTAAATGACTTATCACGGCTGCTTCCTACAAACCTCATGTCGGATATTGCCGAATTCATTGGGTTCATTGACTACATCGCCTAAGAACATATCTTGAAATTATCATTCATAGTCAGCCTCCGGGGACAAACTAGTGTGATCACTGCCATAGCTTTACTACTGATAAAGCTGCTGAGTATTATCTGGTCAAATCCATTTGGAGCACTGTCGTAGCATGTGGTGATAAGTTAATTTGGAAAATTTCCAACCGTTCAACAGTGTTTGTCCACTGACGTAAACCAGTCGAATGAGGCCCACTAAAGTAGCTCAGGAGAGCGGCTGAAGTTGCGTTAGCTTTGCTGAATGAGGTAGACGAGAAGTTTACTACTATAGCTTGCAGCCGATTTGTTCGTGTTTCTCAATGAGCAACTCTAACGGAAGACCCATTGTTTCACCACGGGTGAAGCAGTAAATTGAAGAGCCTCACATATTGCCTAAACACGGAAGGTCATTGGTGGGCGAGTAAGTGCCCATCAAATGATGTACGGGGACGTGCACAAAGTCCTGCGGGTACAGTTTATGATAATTAGGTTTATCGGCAGCTTTCGCCGTGATTTTTGTGACCCCTCTGTCTAACTATTCGACTGACTCTACGGCGGACAACCGATGCATGGTACGAGCATAGAAAATGGACAGCAAGTCGTCTAGTTTCAGTAGTTTACTAATCAATATTTCGTCCGTTAAATTAAACCGGGAAGTCCCGTATATCTGTTCCACCCCGACTGAGGTTTACTCGCAATGTGAATCTGAAGAAACTTGCACTCGACTACCTGGCTGGTGTTCCAAACACCTGACCACACTATGCTTCTCACACCCATGGTCTTCACGCCCGCCAGGACCAATAACCAGTTATGGGATGAATAGAACAGCCTTGAGTTATCCTAAAAGGGATGAAACGTAAAACAAATGTGTTATTGTTGGATGAGCAATAGCAGCTCTATCCGTGAGAATGCCAACTTCTACTCATGAATCGCATAAAATCTCGCTCCTCCTGACACTTTTCACTTTCATAGTGTTTCACACCGTCTCAGCGTGGGACACAGTATCTTCGGAGAGAGAAGTCCAATAAGTTGTTAATTGAGTTAGTAAACGTTTGAAGGACAAGCTTTCCAATCTTGAGTTTTCTAGATCGATGACAGAATGGGTAAAAGTGACCTTTACACGGAATGCGTTGCTGGTTGCATAAATGTGAACTTCGGTTGAAAAAGTCCTGTCACACTGTTTTGCGATTCACGTCAGCACCAAATTTCATCACATCACCTATCTTTGTCTATCCTTCTATTGCCGAAACTCTGTACAGTGTGTGCAACAGGAGTCAGGAATGTCGTCCAGACAATGCAAAGCGGAGTGATCTGCTCACCGAATTCTAAGGCTAATCTGAAGCACGAATAAATTACAGTGCGATTTCACAAATAAATTTGCTTTCAAATATGCTGGCACGTTGAAACCTGATGTTTTCCCACAGTAACCGCCTTAAAGGCGATTAGGTGAACATGGTTACCGGATCCCTTGAAGTATTTCTGCAGCTGCAAACGGAATACATAGCAATGCATGAAACCATGCCTTCATATTTATTGGCAAAATGGCAATGGTGAATTTCTTCCCGGAATCGTGTGTTTTTCACCCCACAAAACATTCCAATTCTATCGCCAAACCTGATTTTCGCATCCCAAAACTCCGACAGTTTGTGTGGTACTTGAAGTGTGATGTAAGAAAATAATTGCTGTCCAAATATCATTGTGATTCCTCACCTCGCTGCACTCCCCGATGTTGATCTAATAATATTGAAATAATCTAGTGTTAACGAGTGTCAATCGATCCACATATTCAACTACTTAAATATGGTAAGAAGTGTGTAGTTGATATTTCCGAACACAGAGCATCAAATGCAGATGCAATTATTTTCACCGAGCGATGCATCCACTTGCGGAAACGAGACATTCTCGTATGAAATAAGGGTCCTTTATAAAAAGGTGGCACACATTTCAAAATGAACCCCACAAATTATTCCATCTGTTGAGTCAGTGGTAACCATAACCGACTCTTAGATGCGCACCCGAAAATATATGAAAGCCTAGATTGAAAATAAAAAACGTATGTGCATTTTCTTTCGACACGGTATTCACTCGGGGACCGAACGCCCGTGACGTTGAGAACAAATCAATTTTGGAACGATGCAGGCCATGGCGGGTAATCGAAGTTACCGGTTGCCTGGATGAGTGCTATTAGGTTTGAGCACCTGAGAATGACTGCAGTGAGCTAGAAATAAGGCCCTTCACACACCAACTATATTATTTTCAATAACCCCTCCAGCGAGATACCGTATACCACGCTTTCATGTTGATGACGATGATGGTGATGATGATGATATACCACGAACACGAAGCTCCATAGGTTGCTTTGTGTTGGGCGCGCTAAATCAAGGTTGAATATGCATTGAGTGTCAGAAATTACTTACCGTTCTGGTCGTAACCAAGGCTAGTGGACATGGACACAAAGAGAAAACAAAAAATAGGCAAAGCCGCTATACACAAGGAGAACATGAGGGATTAAACTTGAGGCCGCAACTGTAATTTTTATCTAACGTCAATAATTCATGGAGGTGAGAGCAGTATAGTGGGCATCAGCATACGCATCTTCAACCAGGTAACATTTTTGATCTTCGGAAATTTGCAGGTGTGTCTCTGCCTGGACATTTGTGGAATGAAACAGGTGTAAACCCCTCCCGGTTTGTCCGCGTAGACTGGCTTCACCGATTACACGAAATCACTGCTGGTACTGACCCAACATATTCATACTGCCGACAACCTATCAGTAGCCTAGAGGGAAAAAAGACTCGGTGGTTGATTGAAAGTCACTCCCAAGCGGTGGACATCAGAGAAGTCTATCTACCCGTGACCATGTGATTTAGTTTTTGTGATTGAAGAAGGATTATCCAGTCTAACTGCTAGCTAATTGCACTAGCGATCAACATTTCTTGGCCCAACTTTTACCATGTCGTTCAGTGGGCGAATAAAGGATCGCCCACCAGACCGAACTAATGGGGGCTTTATCTAATAAAGTTCCAAAGATTCCTTGAAACATAATGCTGAAAGTTTCCACATCCATACTGAGATCTTGTGCACGAAAAATCCCCACCGTTTGAAATGTCTCATGTTTGGAGTCAGATTATTTTGTCTACCCTTATTCTGACCTGCTGAAAAATTGCAACTTTCCGAATACACGTTTTCACTATGATTTTCGATACGAAAACCCGTAACAATTTCCCATGGGCCAAAGTTATTAGCAAAAGTAATTTTGTGTCCACTCACTATTCAAAACCATTTAGCAGCCTCAGGTTACGGCTCACTATTCTCCGCGCTGAACGAAATGACCCTGTTTCCACTAGAACAAAACACAACGACGAAGGTGCACACATTGCTGAAAAACGTCTCTGCAAATGATCAGTCATTCAGATATGGGATCGAAATTGCTGACTATACCCTGATTAGCGTAAACTTTGTACCGCAGATCTATTGAATTTTTGATGAACAACTTTTTCACACATTCGCCGTATAGGTGTAAGTCAAAGTTCGATTCTCGGGAGGCCCACAGTATAAAATTCAAGACACATGGAACTTCAAGTAAACCTGGAGGTGATGCGTCGTCGTTCGTTCCTTATTGCGTTCCTGTTCTGCATCGTCCTTGTTGCACATTTGGATGCCATCGGTGTCCACAACTGGGCATCGATATTTAACAACCAGCCGTCGAAGAATTGGGTTATCCTTTTGGCTGGCTCCGACTCCTGGGAAAATTATCGACATCAAGTATGTTTCAGTCGCTTTTTAGTCTAAATTTTTTATTCCAATGCTCTACCAAACCTTTGTGTCCTACTCAATTACCCAAATGGCTGTGATGTTTCACTGGAGGTAAGTTGAATAGAAGACAAAACCACTGGACACATTTATTGGCCTGTTTTCGTTCTCGAAAGTATTTAAATGTCCTTCGACGATGTTTAGCTTTCAGTTGGCCGATTCAACTCAGCTATCGTCATTCACTTTGGTCGGAGACAAAAGTCCTCACCCAAATTGTTCCATGTAGCATTATGTTAGGCGAATTTGCTGCCCGTTAGTAGAAGGATTTAGGAATTCGATGATCTTCAAGCCACCACTAATCATCCAATCATGCTTTGTAGTTTCAACTTGTTAGAGAAACGCTCACGGAACCCTTCCACAATTGATGAGTAACGTGGGCAAATAATTCTGTACTACTTTTAATACTGCTTTTTAACACTTTTAATACTACTTTTAGTATCACTTTTTTTATCAAGTATGTTGTATTTGAAATGAACGTATGGTGGGCCACTCCGGTTAAGTACGCTCGTCCGTTCACGGTTGCTCTGCGTCAGTGTATAGGAACATCGTATGCAAAAAGGTAACAGATATTGAATGTTTCTATATGCATTCCTTATAGTGCGTGGGTCATGTTTTATTAGTATTATGTTTCCCTGCAATGTGATTATTTCTCTAGTGTAGAAACGAACGACAGAATGGAATATGTTATTATCGAAGTCACGGGATACTTAAGTTGTAGAGCCCCTGTAGGCCTGTGGTTGTCCTGACACTCGACGAAATGCGAAGTGACAATCTGCAGTTAGTCGTCGGATTAGATATTTCAAATTTTCACTAACACATTAAGTCATGTGGTTCAGTAATTCCTGGGACTATGGGGAACCTCTTTGCTTCCTCCACCTCTTCAGCCCACAAATGTTCTCAAACCATGCTGACGCTGTTCTCTGACCAAAAGATTTTTTTCCAAAAAGGTTGGCTGTTCGTTGATTATTAATTTATCGTCTTCTTGGAGGAAAGCTTGTCAAAGCTTCGAAGGAATTAGGAGTGTCGTCATATACCCAGTACTTGCGTCACGTTTGCTGCACAATTCCACAAGCATAGTGCCACAGCATATTGCAGACAGGACATTCCAGTAGAACTTAAGGTAAGAAGTCGCCTTGTCAGCAAAAAACAGGTGTCTGATCTTTGTTCACACACGTGGTTCAGCTCCAGTAGTGGGTGTCACATATGCACTGCTTAAATCGTAGAACACCTGTGAGGTCCAATTTACCTTCTTTAGTCACAAGTACAATTGATTTTATTTTGAATGGCAAAACTGACTACAGGCGAAGAGGAGCAGTTTTCGGGATTCTACTAGGAGTTGTTTTTCTCTAGAAGGATCGTGGATGAAATATCTTCTAAGATCAAGACGAAGGGTTCTAACCATGATCAATAGGAAGATCGTTATTTCAAATTAGACACAACTGATCAAGAGCCACTGGTGACCGGATGCATAGCTGGTCGATATATACTCTGGGGACAACACACGCCTACGGTAGATGCAATAGTTATGCGGCATCGAACGTTTATCTGTTTGCTTTTTTCCAGAACAACAAGGGATCGGTTATAATTTCTTCAAATGACCAATAAAACCGCGACAACAAAAGGGCAATAAGAGAGCTGTGCACAATATAGTAGGAATAAATAAGAAACCCCCACATCCCCTTTCGCATAACCATTTTTTTGCGAAAAGAAGGAATGCATTTTCAGGCTAAATAGTCATCACCAAATGTCCACCTTTTGAATGCAAAAATTACGCGGATTGTTCGTCATTCTCAGTGTCGTGTGAGAAGTACTTTCGGGGGTTTATCTGGGACGCCTTCCTTGGGGGCTGATGTGATACTTACGAAGTAAACTTATCTCATATGATGGTCCCGAAGAAACTGATGATCTACATGCAGCGCATCTGTACTGACAATAATTTTGGAATTCACACATTCAATACGAATTGAGATGTTTCGCTTGTTTGGGAAATTGCCCGTCAAACCACGCTCTAAAGTCGGGTGGAGCGCTTGCTTTTTGCATCACTGATCAGCTACTCTTGGTCGAAGTGCTCAGACTTCATTAAATGGTGGGGAGTAGGCGGGTTCCAGTCTCTCCTGAGGAGCATTAAATGCACAAAACAGACAGCTCTCAGTAAGAATGAACCGGCTGTATAGTGAAATTGGACGTTGCGGCGGAGCTGGGCATCATCCTTAATGGCAAAATTGAAATTCATCATGAACGTATCGGCACTAGGCACCCCGCGATTTATTTCAACTGCGCGGTAGCCATATATCTTACTAGTTAGATGACAATGGCCAAATGCGAGCAAATGCTCAACGGAAACGCAGACGGGTAAGTTACAATCAAATTATTGGACGGGTAAAATGCATTGAAGTGCTGTTAGGAGAGCTGAGACTCCACCACGTTTTCTTCAAGGTCTGTGCCTCACTCTATATCAGTTGAACCTCAATGCATCTGTCATTTGTAATCCAGGCGANGAACGTTTACCACGCGTATCAAGTCGTGCGTGCAAACAAAGTTCCACAGGAGAATATAATTACCTTCGCCGTCGATGATATTGCAGCCAATCCCAAGTAAATATCGCGCACAATTTTCGCCTTTTCTTTTTCTTACATGAATTTTCATGGCTGCGGGTGCCACAGCATCATGAAGCAATTAGCACAATCTATTTAGCATCAAACCCCCAATTTTGTGGTACATCCTCGGTGATGCTTAGCCACTTACAACTTCTTTTGGTTTTTCAGTAGTCAGAAATTAACAACAGTGACATCTGGAGGTCGTCTGAGTGCATTAGCCGCCTGATGTGTTGGAGTAATTACCAAGCAAATCCAGTACTCTAATCAGTTTATAATGAAGACGATTTCCAGGATTAGTGGTGTCCCTTCAAATAACGTGAAAACTTGGTTGTTGCTTGGATACTGTAATTATCGCAAGTCGTTTATTGACCCATCGTATTTCATACAGGGCACTGGGTGAGCAGGTGCTAATGAAATTTACTACTGAGGGTGTTTGGTGGTACACATAAATAAAACGCTCACCTTTTACACATATTCTGTGTTGTGTTATGCACTCATCGGCATCATCGTCGGATCTCTACAGCATCCCTTCTTTAAGGATCGCATGTTATCACTTCACCGAAAGCGTACCGCAGGGTGGTCCCGAGGTTTTGATCCTCTGGACCAACGAAAAACAGAATTTTCGAGTATTTTCTTTGTTCCTATTAGATCCACATTCTAATTTCTCCAAAAGGCGACTGCCACTGTTCATTTCCTTATTCCTAGAAATCCGTTCCGCGGCAGAGTGTTCCATGACTACGAGCACCAAGACGTATACAGCGGTGTCGTAATTGATTACCGTGGAAAGGTATGTCCGTGTACCGGTGCCCCCTAACCGGATGCATTTCTCCATCATTTCGCTATGTAACGCAAGGTGCAAGTAACCTGGCCCTGCGTATTCAAACTCAATATTAAACGTAGGGCAGGCAGATCAGTTTTATTACATTACATAATAATAAATTTACCTGAGCAATCACTAGTCGTAAGATAATAGAGAACTCTCGAGGAGTCCAAGATCGAGTTTAAACTTTGCTTGCGAACCATTAGGTAAGCTTCAAAGTATTAACGTTATTTTCGTAGCGTAGTTCATGATTTAAGATTTCCAAGTTAGCCTTCTTGTCAAAAGAACCAACAGCGTCTGTCAGTGCTCGCAATTAGATGCAGCGCGTCGTCTATGAATTGTATGAGGCGATAATCTTGTCAAAATCGTGGCGCTTCTTGGATGCGCTATTGGCAAACAGTGGCTATTGGCTCCAATCTGAGCTCGTCATTATGATAGACCGGCAAGCTACCCGACTCAACTACCATGCCCGACAAACACCCCAACAATCAAATTTACATTTTTCAGCTTTCTGCGAACTTTGTGACATTAATCTAACTAAGGATAGGGAGACGATTATAGATTTCAACTATTTAAACTGCAATCGGATGGTATAATCACCATTGTCACACGAGTAATTAATCATGCATGTTTATTTGTTTAAGGATGTCAATCCGAAAATGTTCGACAAAGTAATGAAGGGCGATAAGCAACTTGAGAGACAAGGGAAGAAGGTGCTGAAAAGGTGAGTTTGCACGGAAGTTGACATTGTTGATGCACTTGCTGATCACAGCCGTGATTCCTGTTTTCCATGGCCGAGTTCTGGATTTGCGAAATGTGTGCCTAGTATGCACATGATCTCCTTAATTAGAAGTTTCAGAGGTCGGTCAGAAAAAATTGCTTTACTTCCTGGGAAATCCGGTTCATCAATTTCAGACTATGGCAAATCTTACTTAATCATAATACATTAAATCATATTAAATCATCAATGGATATTGTTAAGAAGTTTCACAAATATTCAGAAATGGTCATTTGTGCATGGTAAATATCTGCTCGGACTAGTACGAATTGGGGTCGATCCACCTTGGTGTGCTTGGATTCAAGAGTTGTTTTTTAGCTCACCGTGAAGACTAAAACATGTGAACACTGCTGATTGTCGATTGGTTGCACGGCATTCCCCATAATCCGTAACGCAATCCACCGATGTTACTTCCAACTTTTAGAATACCTAGCTCTCCCCGGGTTTTATGTGGGTGACTACAGTCCCGGTTGCACTTTCGAGATCCCCTCGACGTTATCCGCACCCGCTCATGATGAGAAGGGAGGCGTTAGCATACACAACCAATCCAGGAAACCAGACAACTGTTAACCATTTGCAAACCAATAAGATCTCATCCGGTCAGTTATTCACCGTTTGGGATTCGATTCATAATCATTGCTCTTGGTGCTTCGTACGTGGATTCGAGATGGATGCTTCTGTACATATTTCTAGTTCCCGCAAACCGATCTATTTTATTCGCAGTTGGATAGAAACACCCTGGATTCAGCAGTTATCTTAGACACTGATTGTCGGGCCTTGTTCAAGAGCTTTGTGTCATTTGGTGGTCAGCTCTCAATCAGCTTTGATTTCGAAAACTCATGCGCCTGTTCTGTTCGGTCACCATTCCATAGCTGTCCATTTGGGTTTATTTTGAGGTTTCGTTGGTCTTCACAGTTGTTTAGAATGAGGGAGTCCTAGATCCACCCTTCCAGTGCACTCAGTCTGACACGTTCTTTTCTAAACCCACCCGCTAAGTGGATGTAGGTCAGCAACAATTTTATTGACTTTTTTCCAGAGTATGGAGTCCTCGCTGCCTCTTAAGAATATCATATCCTGATTTAGCCCGCTAGTTTACTAGGAACCTACATTTTAATGAAAATATTTCGTCGGTTATATTTAAGAAAATAGTTTTGCTACTTGCCAGATTCCTTAGCAGATCTAATAACTGATTAAACAGCAAGATTAACTGAATAATTGCTGATCGAAATCTGACCATTTTCAGTGTGTGCATTTCCGCATGTATGTATTTTAGATAGAAAGAGCAAGCAGACACTAGAATAGCTATTTGGAGGTGGTACACTCTCCTGAAAGTTAAAAATCAGTTTTATCAACGAGAAGTTCATCCACCCAATATAACTCTTAAAAATCAGGCCACCACACAAAAGCAATTCAGAACAAGGCAATCAAAACGAATCAGTGAAACCAGAATCGGATGTAAGAAAGGCGGTCTACGCCACGACATAACTCGGTACACGGTAGATGAAACCATGGACAAGTGGATCTCAGAAAGAATATACTGAGGGCACCTAACAAATTCATGGAATGTAGAACGTGTGCAGAAACTAAATTTCCAAATAGATTATGTCGTGGAGCATATTCTGGGAACACAGTCCGCAATACACTGCAGCTCGGAACGGACCGAGAGGAACCAGAGTAGGGTGTGCTCTCATCAACCGGTCACATGCTCATAATTTATGACAAGTATGGAGGAACTCTCGGTCCTATCATTCACTCATGATGTCACTTTGCTTATTGGCGAAACACTTCCCAGGTGATCGCCATTAGCAAAGTACATTTGAACATGCTCTTTATTAACGACCAACGAACGGTTCATTTACAGATTAGTTTTAGATGAAAAATATACAGCCTCTGGGATGACCGTTTTCAAAATATCTCTTCGCCTCACCCTAATTTTGATATTGTTCCTCAGTGTTGTATATATTATTTGGATATTTCATTGAACATATATGCTTATACTACCAAAAGCGTGATTTCGAAAGGGCTGAGTGTGAACGTCCCAATGGAGAAATGGACAAAACAAATAATGTAGAAACTGCCCCATGTCATCTTCGTGCATTCAGAACCATAGAAGCTACTATATCCCTTTATCCAATTACAAACACACAGACTTCCGAATTTCCATTCTCATTCTCATGTGTCCATGCAAACAGTAGTCAAGTGGCTGTTACTGAAACCACTGATTATATCCAGTAGGGTGTACAAAGAGGTATTTCGACCTGGGTGGTTGTTATCCTCCTACTACATCCGTGTGAAGTGCTTAACAGAAATGCCATTTAGGACCCGCGCGGATAAACTACTGAAAGTTGGACAAAGTCATACTCATTTGTCATGGAAAGAAAAGAACCGTAAACCTCTCTCACCTATCTGATTATCTATTGTTCGATTATCCAGGGCGGCTTACGTAAACTCGGCTTTTGGAACGTGAGACGAAACTTAAGTTATCGGGGAATGTAATTTACAAATATCGAATTCCGCGGCTTTTTTGTTGTGCTTTGCTACGCCTGGGAACGCCACCCAATAAGCTACTCTTCAAGACCACCTTAACATTCCTGTTCACTGACAGTGGTCGGGATGACAACCTGTTCATCTATTACACTGGCCATGGTGCGGTTCAGGAGATTTCCTTTCCAAGTGGAGATGTAAGTTCCGTTAATTGTTCTAACCGCGTTTGTAACACACAATTTTCTGAAACTCAGAAAGGCATCGATGTACATACGTTGACGGAAATTTTCGCGGTAATTCTTTAAAAAATGGCCCACACGCCAACCAAAATTTGGAACACAATCCACGATGTTTGGACGTCTCTCTCCCAATTTGTGTGGGTGTCTTCAAGGTGTTTTAATGATAACGTCACATGATTTTTTTCTGCTAAGTTCAGGGTCGCTCAACGTACATGATTTCGCAGTTGATCCATTTAGACTGCTGAGTAAACGAATGCACGACAAACAGTGAACGTGGCTGCATACGGTCACTCATGAGCTTTTGATGGTTCAAAGAAGGCTATGAAGGATGCGTCAGCCGAAATCCTCCACAGAATACCACATTCCTTTTTTGCTTTCAGTGAGACACAGCGAATCATTGGTAGTATGAAGAAGTTTTCGTATTTTATGTATGAGAAGGCAGTCTCTGACGAAAACCCGAGAAGCAAAGTATAACTGTTTCAAGGCTTATTGGAAATCATTAAAGTGCGCCTAGAAGTTGCCACTGGCGGTTATCTAACAGCCTTATTTACCCACACCTAACCGGGATATTACTTCGCTCATTCTTCAGTCAACACACAACACATTCTTCAGTCCACACAACTGGCGATAAACCTCTGAGCTGACAAATTTCCATGTTGAAAATCCATTCGTCCCATGGACTATTTTTCTACTGAACTACTTGCAGTCTCCTGGTAGTGTGATAAAGTTTGGATTATAACGATTCATTGTAAATCTCCCCAAATCTCCGTGTATGTTGGTTAGGGCTAGAATTTTCTCAACCAATCGGCTTCAATTAAAGAACGGCATTTCACTTCTGAACGAGCAGTACAAGACTTGTGATGTAATTCCCAATATGAGAGCAGAAGTCACCCAAAAGACTATATCTTTTCACTGAGGTTATTCAGGTGACTCTCGATCACAACAGTTGGGATTTGTAAATGTGACATTTGGTTAATAACGGCCGTGAAACTGACAGCCGGAATAATCTGGAAATCAGTCCTCCGAAGTGATCGTTCATTATTCCGATTGTGTGACTGTCAGCTTGTTCGCTATAACATTGGTTCCAGTGGCCCTTTTCCAAGGAGTGTTTACATCAGTAGAGAGGACCTAGTGGCACTCATATTCCAGGGAACTAAGATAGAGCAAACAGGGTCTTCAGCTACAAATTTAGGAGGACTAAGCAAAATGCACTCATACTTTGTCCCTTAGATGATTCCGTTGGCTCCATTTCCGGCCAAGCACCCATTCAGATCCTAGGTACCACTCCACCGAAAGGCAGCACTATGACTGAGACACTGCTAGGTTGCCAAAGCCTAGACAGGAAGAGTTAGAATGCTGAGGTTAGTTCGCAAATCCGGACCATTTGGTCCGTAATTTCACGCTATGATCAGTGAGTTATCCCGAGTTCAGGAGATTTTTTTCTTGTCTTGTGACAGCTCGATGCCGAAGATTTCAACTATCTTCTCATGCACCTGTATTCAAACTATAAGTACAAGAGAATGGTGATTTACATGGACGCCTGCTACTCTGGCTCTATCTTCCAAGATATTCTTCCTTCAGATGTGGGAAGTAAGTAGAATGAATTTTTGAATTACACTAGTGGGACTCTTGTGGAATATCATCCATGGCGTATTTCGCATATGGCTAAAATACCGAACTGGCAGATAAAATGGAGTGAAGTATTAGCCCTGGTTCGAGCTTCTTCTCTTCGTGAACTTTTGGCTTTATGCAGGGGACGTTTAGGCTGTAATTGCCCAAAACTCAGCCTTCATCGGTTAAAGTCATTTCTGCCGTTGAACTAGATTCAGTTGGGTGTAGGAAATCACTGTAACACCGGAGAAACACGTGTGTTGAGTTGGTGGTCTCGTTTTACGATTACACAGATTACGTATTAAACGTTTACAAACTGATTAAATTTTGACGGGCTAAAATAATCCAGCCAAGCCAAATGTTTAGTTTATAAGGAAGCTTCGCAAGTTCCGTACAGTCTGGTTCAAGTAACTACGGTTGAGGGAAACAGGAGAACTACCGCCAGCTGTTAACCCCAATAAACGTGAGAAACATGGCGTGATGTCAAAGGGTTCTCACCGACTCCCCGTGTACTGCGTTGTTTCAAGACTCCCCTCAGCGTCACATTATCTACTGTTCTATAATTCACCTCCTTATTTCACACTTTTTAATATTAATCTATTCGTTTTATCCCCCTCTCTAAAACTGCAGTCTACGTGACAACGTCAGCCAGAGGCAATGAAGTTAGCTGTGCTGTTTTTTGTGATGACAAACAAATCAACGTTTGTCTAGCGACCGAATACTCGTATGCCTGGATTACGGATTCCCAGTCCGTGAGTTTTATCTAACCTTTTGCAGATAAGCCTGTGAGTTTCGGATGGGTAATCCGGTGAAACCAGTATCCAGTGGTAGTCCATTCGAGCTAGCCAAACTCCCTCAATAAATGTAAATCTTCGGGGGACAGTGTGATTAGGTGTATTCTGTAGTCAGCAAATACTAATGACACTCAGTCAGAAGTTTTGATTTGGCTTCTGGAATTCCTTGCTTACACGCAGTGCAGATGTATGCTGCTAAAAATCTCCCCAGTCTTGCACACCCAATTTGAGTTTATCCAACTCTCATTGGGTTTACTAAAACCCCGCAGTATGTGTTTTACTCGGCACCATAGCACTTGACGGCTCTGCCAATGTGATTGTGTTCACCCGTCCCAACCACCAAAATCAGAATACATGTAGTACAACAAAGTGGGATGTTTCATTTCTAGTTCACTTGAGCTTCCATACGGCTGGTCAACCGTTTTTATATTATTAGAACTAACTCCCTGCTATGGTGCGGCACTTGTTGTGACACTTCTGATAAATCTTTCATAGTTATATATCGGCGTGCAACTGACTACTCACCAACATTGACACCGCTAACGCCACGGTCAATTCAACAATCACCACCGCCCCAGGGCCGCCAAATAAGCCATTAGTTATATGTTTGAAATTTCTCCCTGTCCACCTGATCAGATTCATCTGCTTCCTTTCAGAGCCATGTGAATGAGGCTATCATTAATCTAGGTACCATCGGCGTTACTCGCCCTCTAAGACAAGGACAACCTGACTCTCACTCTTACCGATTATAGAGGCTGCAATGTATGCCTTTGAATCGATGTTAGTGGAGTTTTTATTATCACTTTCGATTCGCATCGCCTGATTCAGTGTCAGGAGCTAAAGGCGCCCCGGAATGACTGTAGTGGTCCAGCAATAAGTCCTTTTCTCATCCACTTTGGTTCTGCTTTTTATAGTGCTTCAAATGAATTTGAATGCACGAAGGAAAACGACGGTGTTCAACGAGGATGCTGATAATGACCAGATGATGTGGACGATGATGATAATGATTTCCCTGGAAATTAAAATACACAATAAGTGCATGTGTATAGTATCCTGTCAAAGCTAAGTGCTCTGTGATTCATCAGTAGTAGATGTAGTTCCATGCCTCGGTTATATTAGCTATGGTGATCCTTTTACTAACGACGTCGTCTGGTCCACGCCTTAAGCGTGCAGTATGTTATGCGCGCAAAAGCCCCTGAAAAATGACCCGGGAACAACGATACCAGTGGTAGACACTAGTTATTTGCTAAGAATACTGCCAATGATGTCGTAACTCTAGTGGTTTCACTGGTTTCGCCCATGTTGGATCTATCTGAAAGTTGAGTAAGCTAATTCGCATGCTTCCCATGCCCCCCCTATGTGTCCTGTCACTCATATGTGCGCAGAAGGACATTAAAACGCGTACACTGGATCAACAGTACGAGGAGGTGAAAGAAAGGACAAAAAAAAGTCACGTGACCAGATACGGTGAGATGGTGAGTCAGAAACTGCCAAGGAGATATTCAGTTGAGTTACTTGTGAAAACCCAAACTTTTATGAAAATGAGTGCATCTTTCAAATGTACACTTGCATTTCGTTATCATTGGAAGTTGGCGGTTGAAGATAGCTGATCTGGGACGACATGTTCCATAGACGAAGCTCAGTTAGGCAGCTGGTCCGGGCATCTCTATATGCAAGCTTAGCAGTGTCCTTTTTGGATAACCAAGTCAAGGCATTGGGTACTTTGTGATCTATACCTTTCTGTGCTATGCAAAAAGGGGAAATCAAATCTAAGAGAACCATCTACAAGTAACCCAGAGTGAGGATATTTTTACACGATGAGTGAAACTTTCATCTGAGAAATCAACACTCGAAGAGCAGCTTAATACGTGGTCACGTGATGTAGTTTTGCATGATGGAACGATAAGTGGCATTGTGTCATATCAGTGTAAGATCATCACACTGCTGGTCATTCTCTTGTGTTTGAATCCCCAAGGATTCAGTCGTCGGTCGGAAGGTCGCCAGTTCGTCATTCCGAGCTGGATTCACATACGCGCTGCTTCTGACTATAAATAAAGATGACACAGGTAAAATGCTTTCTGGTTGTCCAGCCAAAAATGGCCTCACTTACAGAATAAAATATCCATTCAAGTTAGAAAAGTCTGCTTGGCAGGACAAAGCGAACGTGCATAAGAGACAACAAGGCACAGGCTCACTGTGGTGCGACTAGAGATTAAACTGTGCGATTTGACGACATCTTTCCAGACTGTCAAGCTCAATTACATGATCCAGTTAGATTATCAGACCCCATGGCAACCTAAGACCCATTTTTATGTACACGTGAGTAATGAAGGGCTTATTTGTACTTCGTGACCAATAGTTTGCTGTTACAAGAGTTGTTCTGATCACAAATAATGATGCTATGAGTTTGTTACGCTTTCAGTCTTAATAAAAAGCATGGCATGGTCTGAACATCCAGTTAATACATGCAACTTCTAGAAACTGGTAAGCGAACTGGCGAGTATTACCACCGCCTCTTTCAAAAAGCATGTTGGCACTCGCAAACTGCACTTTGGTCTGATCCGCAGAAATTTAGTCAATGTAATTCTAGGAAAATTTAGATGGTAATGCTAGCGCCTCAATGGACATCAGTGCTGTTTGAGAAACAGTTTTGCAAGTAATGTTTATTGCCAAATGAGATACTCCAAATGTAACGAGTGAGCGCTACAGTGTAGAACCACGTTTCAGGGCCAAGTGACTTCTTTATTGCATGGAACATGATACTATCTTATTTGGTTATGCGCTGATCAACATCTATTTACTGTTTGTTTCAGGGGGTGGGAAGTCTCCCAATTGGAAAATTTCAAGGTCATTATGATCTAATGAGGAACCGAAATGACGGGACAATTGCAGTATGTGTTCAGCGCAATATTTGATATTTTAAATTGTCCATTGTATCATATATATATATATCCATACATACAAAAAATAACGTCCATACATACATGCATACATACATACATACATACATACATACATACATACATACATACATACATACATACATACATACATACATACATACATACATACATACATACATACATACATACATACATACATACATACATACATACATACATACATACATACATACATACATACATACATACATACATACATACATACATACATACATACATACATACATACATACATACATACATACATACATACATACATACATACATACATACATACATACATACATACATACATACATACATACATACATACATACATACATACATACATACATACATACATACATACATACATACATACATACATACATACATACATACATACATACATACATACATACATACATACATACATACATACATACATACATACATACATACATACATACATACATACATACATACATACATACATACATACATACATACATACATACATACATACATACATACATACATACATACATACATACATACATACATACATACATACATACATACATACATACGTACATGCGTACATAGATACATATATATAAACAGACAGACAGACAGAGAGGCAGACACACAGTCAAACAGGCAGACAGACAGGCAGACAGATAGACAGACAGACAGACGGACAGACAGACAGACAGACAGACAGACAGACAGACAGAAAGACGGAGACAAACGTGCAGACCGGCAGGCAGATAGACAGAGCGACAGACGGACCGAAGACAGACAGGTTTGCGTACATACCTACATGCATACACGCTGATAGACAGATAATTAAACAAACAGGCAGTCGAAATATCAATAAGGCAGATGGATAGGAAGAAAGACATTATGAAGAACAATTAGGTAGGCAGATAGTGAGCCATCCAGAGAAACACACCGCATCAAGCTGAACATGTATCTGCCAGGTGGAGTGTCGGAAGACTGCGTGTGTCTCAGGCAGAATTAATCAAGCAAATGGGCACGATTTTAGCAGACATGCATGATATCGATTGGAATTAATCGTGGATATCATAATATGCCTCTGATAAAACACTGACCCATAAAAGTGCACAGAAAAAATCGGCTGAAATCCTTCGGCTACTACCTAATTCTGCAATGTGGGTTTTGTTTCGTAAACCATGTTTGTTGCTATGTTGCCACGTTTCAGATATTCAGCGAAATTCATTAAAGGTTTGGTGATGTCCTATTTGCATCCATATTTTTGCAGGACTATGAATGTCAGCGATAATTTCCATTTGCCTGTAACCCTTGTGACGTTAGGTAGTGTCTCCTCGGTAGGTCGTAGACAACGAAGACAATTCTGCCAGGCAGAATTGACAGAACTCCGCTAGCAGTAGATGCTACCCAATCGCTTTCTTCGTTCCAGCCGGGTGCTGCAGATAGAAAACGGTCTTCACGGGCGTCTTTGTTCTCAATGGCACGAAACCTGTTGGGGGATGGAGGCGATAACAGTGGAAGAACATGAAACCGCTTGGCGGAAACTATACCGAGCGCTTCAGGTTCGTAATTTTTTTCCTAAACAACTTATCTCCGGAAAGTACCTGAACGCACGATTAAATCTCGTTTTAGGTAAGAATCGATATGTCGTTTAGATGTGCAAGAATTTTTTGAAGGCCATATAACATACCCCGCAATTATTCTTCTGGCTACTTTCAGCTTGGCCATATCGTCAAGGAAACATTTCACGACCTCGTCATGGATGTGACGACCCACTATAAGCCAACGGTAAACGAGATATCCAAGAGGGATGAAATCTCCTGTTTCAGGGCAGTATTCGATCAATTCCGGATTCACTGCTCCAAAATTACACAGGTGAATGAACCTCGTGATGCATGAAAGAAGCGCGGAAAAATATGTGTAGATCAACGGCCAATTTAATCACCCTTAAGGAGTTAATGACCAAGCCCGTCATAACAGAAATGACGCATAAAAACAATGAGGAGTTCAGTTCATTTCAGGTCCGTGTCGTGGTTTCAATGTTTTGACAACCACTACAAAGGGCTGTTGATTTAACCCGTGGTTAACCTGTAAACCGTGATTTAAATCCCGCTTCAATAATCCATGAGACAAGCCACCTTCCAGATAATGCGTTCGATTCTACCTGCAAATAGGTTCGTTCAAAAGACAAGAATGCAAATTTTACCGTCGGAATCACTCGGGCCCGACCGTCTTCGCTGACGGTATTGTGCTCATCTACACTGGTTTTAGTGGATAGTAATTCTTCTGCGAGTTATTTTAGTACTTGGAAATGATGAAATAGGAACACGCAGCAACCTGCTTCATCTATATTTTTATCCGACGGAAAAGCATACTGGACCATTGTTGATTCCATGCATTGTTCAACATTCGCACTAACGGCATCAAAGGATGGTTCATTATCACTGGTAATAAAGCCTCACTAATGAGATGTAACCTTTGCCTTAAACAAAACTGCTCTTGGTTAGTTGTTTTTCACTCTCCACCTTAGCAATCGATCGCGTGAATGGATGATCATTCATTGTCTAATCACGTGTTACTCTTAGTGAGCTTACACAGTTTACCCTCAATTGATTTCCCATCGGAGAACCCTTGGGTCTCCAAATACGCCCAAACTAAGAATACTCTTCAAGGACGAAATTGCGGACCACTATTTTCAAATAACGATAAGTAGGAACATACGCGAATCAAGAGAAGTTCTTCCTTTGACTGGGCATTTTGGAACCCTCAAACATGATTTTGTACGAAGGGGGTTCATTCAAACGTAGAGAAAACTCCCTAGTTCGTCTGATTTCATACAGGTTGATCGGATGATGGAGGATGTTTAATCAAGAGGAATTCTCGTACGGCTAAATAACTTAAATAACATCGGTGTATTATCAACAAGCCGAGGTTTTATTGATTTCAAAATTCCAAAAACCGTCCCGATCGGTTTCTCTTCCTCCAAATTTACGATGGATGAGAGTTGCTACCAGAATCCCGGACTTTCATCATCATTTCAATTACATATAACTTCGGTGTATTATCAACAAGCCGAGGTTTTATTGATTTCAAAATTCCAAAAACCGTCCCGATCGGTTTCTCTTCCTCCAAATTTACGATGGATGAGAGTTGCTACCAGAATCCCGGACTTTCATCATCATTTCAATTACATCATTATTAGCAGCATAATCTGGACTACTCAGATGGTTTAGACAGCTCCTGATTACTTTTGGTTTTTTCGAGCATACCATGTGGGCGCACTTCCCGGGTTTCCATCCACTTTGTGTTCAATTGAAGATAACCATTTGGGGCGAGATTCAAATGGATTCAATTGTATCTCCTGTCAAAAGCAAATTCAAATGCATGTGGAAGCATCTGTCAAAATCAGTCCAATTTTGGTTCAAGTGGAACGTAAGGTTGACAGAAACTTTGGTATTGCGACTCCCTGATGAGACCCAAGACGGGCAAAACCGGTCACATTAGTACTATGTGTTTTGTTTCAGAGTTCACAGAGCTTCAGTCATCTGCTACGTAGCTAAAAACACTCGCGTTTGCCCCGATATCACCAAAGCACTACATATCAGAAAGCTGCGAAATGCCAAAAAATCAGATATGCGGATACTCACCAACACCTCATATGTATACGTTTTTGATTCGCCGGCCCAGCATTTACTCGATCTGCAGTGTGCCTCACAGACAATCGTTCCCACTGTTTGGCATAATCACCACATTTTCTCGAGAATGCTGAATTCTGTTGGTGGACTTTCAGGTGAATCTTGCGTGAAAAAATTGCTGATTGATTGAAAGCATTCTTAGACATTAGTGCACACCTTGGTTTGAACATGACTGATCCTCCGTCCGTCGCATCCATGTGACATCTTTCGTTTAATGCCTTGCTGAGATTCTGCTATCAATCTGTCTTCAGGTCCTCGAGGTAGCTCAGCAAACAACACATTTAATGGAGCTGTGCAAAGCCGGGTACGATGCAGAAACTCTCATGGAGTCTCTCCACAATCTCTGTTCCTAACAAGCACGTATTCTGTTGTGTGATTTCACCGGAATAAAATGAACTGCAACTAGTTCGTATTATGTTTTGCCACAGTTACAGGATTCGCGGTATTTTCCATCAGAATAGCTGTCCGGAGTCGTTTGGTAAAACCTGGAGTGATTCAGCCTAAATCTTTCGCATTCTCAGGCCCTGAGGACACATCAGAACGCTTCCACAAAATTGACGTACCATCGCGCATCAGATGTACAGTACAAAAAAGGGCCAGTCAATCCACTAATTCCGGGCAGTTTTTTGTTCATCTGCCGACTCGAACACACTGCGCAAATTTCAGTTTTTCTCTCCACTATTTTTCATTTTATTTTCACCCACTTTCCACTCTGGCCGGATCATAGTAATATTGTCAAGCTAGTGTTCATCCACCTGGGATAAGTTCTCACACAGTCCGTTGCAACCTCACAGTATGTTGAGTTGAAGCCTTTAAAAGAGTGTCTGTTGATCTTATAAGCAAACAGGTAAGCAGCCTTTCGGAATCCTCTGTTTTCGCAGTTGTATTGTTGAGAGCCTGACAACCTGATGTTGTTGTATTATGTTAAACAACTTGTCTATGTTTATGCGCGTAAGACGGGACCGACTTCCATCCAGCACCATTTTCAAGTCACTCAAATAAGTAGGTTTGAATGCCCCGCTTGCGCGGTACCGCACAGAAATGTAAACAAAAAGGCCGGTTGACCGCACCATTGATACACAAAAAAACTCTAAGACTATTTTTGAAACGACCGCCTTCACAAACGTTTGCTGCATACTCTTCAGTAGCGCATTACCGGCCTCTCTTTTCTGGGTTTCATCAGATCGGCGTACGGTGTGATGTTGGTTGATAGGAAAACGCAGACTAAAACACCGAAGAGGAATCAACGCCATTGAGTGGTTCGGCTTGACAGTTGATAAACACGTTCCACAGATTTGTTTTTGGGATCAACGTACAAAATCACTTTGTAGTGGACAGTTATTCCGTGGTAGACATGACGTGGCAACCAACATACTGCGATGGAAATTTTGTCTAAATTTTTGACCACCGTGTACAAATTGTCATAAAATGCACTGAATTAGATGCTGTTGGAATCCCGTTGGAGGCAGATCACTACAAAACACCAAGTGCAAAGAATTGGCGATAAGCAATCCATGAACAACTTTTCCGTCCCGGTGATCAGTTGTCACCCATCCACAGCGATGGCACTTTCTCCTGGTGTAAGAAATGTGTTGCACGCGGGCAATTCCCTGGCACCCTACGGCATACAAACAAAACAGCAGAGCCTGGGTGACAGCCAACCTCCAAAATCAGACGAATATCTGAGTGGTTCGTTTACAAACAGAATTTAGCCATCATTTGATACAGCTTCCAGGCACTAACTGTGGTAACTAACAAACTACCCTTAGTTTTTAAGGTGAAAAGAAGAAATGATAATGTCATATAAACAGCTGTTCCAGCTCTGGTTCCCGGTGTCAGAAAGAACTTAATGAAAATGGAAAAGTGCTATATTCCCAACAAGTGAGTAAGTGAGTGCGAGTGCAAAAGTTACAACCACCCCAAGCTATTTGACGGGCACTATCTGACATTGCTTCAGGCTGTCTACTAGGCGTTTAGTGAACACCCATCAACATTGATCGTCAGATGCCTGAATGCCGATTGCAGACGGTCGTCCTCCTGCGGCGTGCATGAACACTCATGGGCTTTTGCTGAATTGATTGAATGATTGACAGGCCTGTATGTCTGTATGCCTGTATGTTCCTATTCAGATTAGGATGGAGTTTTATGGTCTCCGTGGTTCCGGGTAGCCTAGGGTTATTTTTCAGGAAACTGAACTTCCCGATGAGTAAAAATACTCACATTTGCACATTACCTTCGTTTCAAAGGGGGACTCGACAGAACCCAGATCAACCTCTCGTGTATACTGGTCGCTTTCCACTGGATTGTTAATTAAACCATGTTTCAGCATTCCGTCCAATGATGGGTTGCCTCATTTCACTTGGTGCGAAAATTGCTTGCATAGTTTTTGTGTCCTAAGAATAAATTACCTATACTTTACAGCACCCGAGGATGGCCAGTACACCGTATGCAGGAATATGATGGTTGACTCGGTAGGTGTTCCCGAAACAAGCAAAATGTGAAATGACTCTTGTTTTCGCAAGCTTTAGACGTGTCGCACTGCGCAACATTTATGTAAACGTGTTCGTCACGTGGAAAAACGAGTCATACTGGCTAGATCCATTTAATGAATGTACTGAATGTCTACTGATAGTGATAACCTCTGTGGAAATGGAACTCCAAATCCGATGACTGCAAAGTAAATCCGTCAATACTGACACGAATTTGTGAAGGGTTGTGAAACTTGTGACCAAAATACAGAAAACCGCTGACAAATTGCAGGGACACTGTACGGCGACTGCACAGACATTTCGCGAAAACCTGCAGTGAACTTGTGGAGCCAAAGGAATCGGACGGTTCGTAGAATAATTTCAGTCAACCAACCCAGGATAAAATTGCAATTAGGCTCTTGAATAAGGCCCCCAGGGCATCGGGGAAATCAGTGTACCACAGTGACAATTCATATGGCTGGTATTCCGGCGATTTTGACGAGTCGGAAAAGCGGAGCGGATGAGCAGGTGATGCGGAATTCTCCTGATCTCATCTAGGAGGCGGTGAAAGTACGAAACTAGCTCATTGGCGTCCTTGTAGACGTATGTACTAGATTGCTTCATCAGAGTACTACAGTCAAGTACTACAGTCTCACTATTTGCTGTCAGGAGCGAATGACGTGTGATGCTGTTTTGGTGTTGATAGGAATGACGGTATGATTAGGTCCGGTTGAGAAGTTGTCTATTTGTCTCTTCAAATGAGGTAATATGATATCTGTTTGTTACCCTACTTCAGTTTACCCTTTACGCTCTCATCTAATGCGTCGAGAGTTTTGGTGGGCTAAAGGCGTTAGCTGGTTCTAGAGTTACAAATAATCTGAGAACTAACGGGATCGAGTGCGTCTGGATCCGGTACTTATTCTTTTTCATTTTTTGATTACCTCAGTCAAAGTAGCAACGATTCCGGATGAATATATGGAAGCGCCGTAAAGAAAGTTATCTGCCAAGCCCCAAGAAAGACGAAACTGATTGTGAATTGTCCATAAACGTTCAGCAACCACATTGGAATTCCAGTTGATGTACCGAATCCTGCTGTGCGGATAATGACTTATAATAATAGCGACGAACCTGTATTTTGAGATGGGATTCAGGCTGTACCAGCTATCGATCGTGAATGCGGAGAAAGAGAAGCCGATCGTGACGGCTTTGGGGATTCTGCAATCACTACGGCTACTTGGGTGTTTGTTAATCAGCCAAGATTATACAAGCACGTCAGCCTTACGGGTGTGTCTGGGTTCCCTCTGTCCACCATTAGGTCAAGTTGTCTGAAATCAGGCGAAACATTTTAATGCCTGTGAGTTTGATTGAAGTTTCTCCGTAGAGAATGGTTTTCGTGAGTACCGAAAATGCCTTCGCTAAGGAGGGACTATCTTAACTTCGCCGATGTTCCAAAATATCGTTGTGTGACAATAATAGTCAGGATTTTTAGGCTTTGAACTTTATTTTCAAGCCAGGCGTGTTTCGAAATCCATGGGTTATCTGGTTAACAATTAAGCAAGAGTAAACTGTGTACGCTAAGAAACGGTAACGGGTGATTCAACAGTGAACAATCAAACTATTTGTGCGATCGATATGTCTGTCAGTGTTGACTGGCAGAATTGACCACATAGACTACTCACTAAAAGGGAAAAAACGAGTTAACACCAATTTGTGCTATTCTTTGCACAGCATTTCGGGTAAGTCGCACATCAATAACCTTCTCATGTGTATTCAGATGCATGACATGTAATCCACGAATGAATGCAACAGCTGTTAAGCTGGTCTGCTAGACTGATTAGCGTTCGCCATCTGCCTGATCAGTACTCCTCATGTCATGCGCAATCATCAGTTGCACCACCTGGATAATTCATGTTTTGCTGTTTCTGCTGTGGTCCACTCAACTAACAGGTATCCGTCTATTTATTTGTGTTTCATTCTGTTTGACTTTCTGTCTACCTGTCCGTCAGTCTGCTTGACTGCCTGTTGGATAAATGCTGTTTCCATATAAGTCTACTCGATTGTCTGTCGGTTCATCCGTCCGAGTGTAAGAATGTATGTTTGCACGTGGGTATATATGTATGTATGAATGTATGTAAATATGTATGTATGTATATATGTATGTATACATGCATATATGTATGTAAGTATGTAAGTATGTAAGTATGTATGTATGTATGTATGTATGTATGTATGTATGTATGTATGTATGTATGTATGTATGTATGTATGTATGTATGTATGTATGTATGTATGTATGTATGTATGTATGTATGTATGTATGTATGTATGTATGTATGTATGTATGTATGTATGTATGTATGTATGTATGTATGTATGTATGTATGTATGTATGTATGTATGTATGTATGTATGTATGTATGTATGTATGTATGTATGTATGTATGTATGTATGTATGTATGTATGTATGTATGTATGTATGTATGTATGTATGTATGTATGTATGTATGTATGTATGTATGTATGTATGTATGTATGTATGTATGTATGTATGTATGTATGTATGTATGTATGTATGTATGTATGTATGTATGTATGTATGTATGTATGTATGTATGTATGTATGTATGTATGTATGTATGTATGTATGTATGTATGTATGTATGTATGTATGTATGTATGTATGTATGTATGTATGTATGTATGTATGTATGTATGTATGTATGTATGTATGTATGTATGTATGTATGTATGTATGTATGTATGTATGTATGTATGTATGTATGTATGTATGTATGTATGTATGTATGTATGTATGTATGTATGTATGTATGTATGTATGTATGTATGTATGTATGTATGTATGTATGTATGTATGTATGTATGTATGTATGTATGTATGTATGTATGTATGTATGTATGTATGTATGTATGTA